GCGCTACCTTTCTGATGGGTATTACTGGGAAAGAATTGGCCACCAAACTTTGTTTGGGGCTTTGGAGGAGTTGTGAGGGAGTCCAGGAGGGCCATAGCCTCCAAGCCCAGGAGCAAGAAGAAACAGGGAATGCACACTGGAAAACTCATGCTTGGGATACGTACCTTGGGGGGACCCAAACAGAGACCAGTGTGTCAGAAATGGACAGCTGCTGTTTGAATGTATAAGCCCCTCTGCACAGAGGACCTGCACAGGCTGTGGTGCGTGGCCAGCGAGGAGCTCACCGGTGGGGTCCTGGCTGCCTTGCACCCATGGGGTGGGTTTTGGTGGCCGGGTTTGGTAGTATCCGTGGGTTTAACCACCTCAACTCTGTCTTGTGTCTTGCTAAAGCTGCCTTGTCCTCAGCACTGGCATCCCAACGATGCCGAGTTGTCCCACAGTGCAGTCCTTGCTGCCGGTGGTCGTGAATAAAACTACAGGGAGAAATGTTTTGTGGGCTGTTAATTATTTTCTTTAGTTACTGCTGGTGTTGAAGGCAAAGGGCTCTCTGGTCTGTTACCTCCTTCCTTTCAAGTCAGTGTTATGCTAATGTCTAGATATAACCACTGAAGAACTGTCATTAGTGGTTTGTTGCTTATTTATTTGCATTTTTGTTACATTAAAGATCCCATTAATTGTATCATCTTTGGTTATTACATTAATAGAGCTAAGTTCAATTACTGTAACTTGATTTAAAGGAAAAAAGTGCTCCTCGAAACATAATATGGTACAGTTATGTGGCACCACTAAATCCGTTTAATCTTCTTAATACAAAATACCTTCTTCTTGGACATTTTCTCTTGCTTTTCTAGTAAATAAGTCTAATCTCAGCTTAGGTATAACTCGCAGGAAGCTTTAGTAAAAATTTCTGTCATTTTGTAAGAATTCAATTTATTGTTTTCTCTTCAAGGTTCATCTTGCTAATTGTGTGCTGAAATATACTACCACTGTACAGTATTATAAGAGATAGATATAGGAGGTATTGTGCATAGAAGTGGTATGGCCTTTAATTTCTGATTTGAATTGCTTGATAGAAGGTAAACTTGCTGATGAATAATGGAAAGAAATCTTTAATTTCTCTGAAGGACATCTGCACACACTCTCAGTACCCAAATTAATTCAATTACAGTTTCTGCTGTTGTAGAAATAGTGTATTTATTTTAGAATACAGCGAGAATTAAGTGGCAATTGCTAATGTTTCTGGGTAGGTGTTGGTACAACATCAGCACAAAATACTGAGCATCATGTGAAGGAAGATGCACAAACATGCTTTTTTGTTTCTTTTCTCATTTAGATAGTGTGCTAACTTCCAGTGGAAAATAATCAAAACATGCAGTTATCTGGCAATGTTTGAGGAGATATTTTCATTGCTCTGTTTTAGAGAGAAATTAGAATAATCTGTAACAAAAAAATCTGAATTTCTGTCTCTCTCTCCTCCCCAGACTTGCCACGGCATTTCCCCGTTCCTGGGCAGGAAGCTACAGGTGCTATTTTCACAAAACTTTGTCAAGGCCGTTTTAAATGAAAATGCTTTTCTTTTTCTTACTGTCATTCGACACAAAGTGAGTTTGTTGGCTTAATCAGTTTCCGACTGGGCAAATATCCACAGTGTTGTTTGAAATAATTCAGGGCTGATATCAGCCCTGAAGCTGTTCCTTCGAAGGCTCCCTGGAGAGCTGCCTGAGCTCTCTCTGAGATGCAGGCTAAACCAAGGCTGCCTCCAGAGCCGGGTCCTTCAGGTTGGCATGGGTCAGGTGAAGCAGCCTAAGAAAAAACACCAGTCCCATACATGACGCTTACTGTGCCCTCGCTGTCAGGAAAATAACAGTTTCTGTTCTGGTTTACTGGTACTTTATCAGCAGGTGGGAAAGATATATGGCTCCTAAATCAACTTTACATCCCAAATGCCACTGAGATTTGGCCAGCTAGATCAGGTGAAAAAATTTCCTTTGTGGCTAGGAATATCTGTCAGGTAGGATCTGTAGTATGCATTGTTAAAATATTTCTTCTAAGAAGAGTGTTAGGTCTTATTATAGTTAATATCCAAGTGATGCAAGTCTAAATGCTATCACCCATGACTTCCACATTTCTTATGGTAAAGCATATAAAAATAAGCAGACCAGCTGCTCACGTACTGCCAAAAACTCACTTCTGTATATTTGCCGAACACTGTGTGTGTACCTTATGATTTAGGTTAAGGTGCCTGCATAATTTGTTCCCGCAGCTGTTAGTGTTTGCTTCTAAAAGCTATGTGCATTAAAAAAAAAAAAAAAAATCAAACTTAATTGGTCAAGATTTAAAGTAATTCAAGTGTGAAATATTTCTCTGGGGGCAGAGATGTGAGGAAGTTGCCAAAGCCAAGGAGCAGATCAAATGGTTAGGTGTGCTGCATTATTTGACCTGCATTGAAATAAACCTGTCTTTAACAGTGTGTTAAGCACACGTGTAATTGCTTCTGTTCCTTCAGTCATTGCTGGCTCGACCCTTTGAAAATATCTCTTTCTGTTTCAGTTTGCTTTAATATGAAGGGATGATAATATTCAATGATCAGTACTGACGCAGCAGCCAGTTGAGCAGCACTGCAGTTCTCCAGCAATGTGACTTAATGTTTGTCTGTGGTAGTGCAAGAGGAGGTGTTCCCCCAAATCCCCTTATGACTGTAAATAGCGTGTGTGATTTTTGCAAACAATTTGTGTCTAAAGTGTAAAAGCTTTTGACAGGGCCTGTTTAATTTCATAGCAAAAATAGAGTTTAAAGTGGATGGACCAATGTCTAAGAAAAAACTGTGGATGTCAGTATCTGGACTGTGATAGTAATTTTTTCTTGAACTTAGAGGCATGCACTGTTTGTGGTTTGTGCAGTGAGGTTGTCTTTGCTTTTTTGCTGTCATGCAAGGGAGATCTTGTTTTACTTAACATGGCAGACTTCACCTGGTAACAATTAAACTTCAGCTCTGTTAAACAATTTGAGTTTTACCCAAAGACACAGAAGAAAGCAGATTATAATCTGCAGAAATCATGTAAAATAACTTCTCTCATGACTTAAATGGAGTCAGAAGAATGATTAACTTCAAAGGTAGCTCTGTACGTAGGCTGTGAAACACTTGGCCCAGTAGTAGCCATAACAAGCACGAAACTCAGTTAGTACATTCACTTCGTACTTTTGCCAAGATCCATCAAAACACTGGGATAACTTTCTGTCCGTACTTCGTAACTTCTTTCAGGCGTTTCCCTGGGTGTTATCTGATGAGCATTACCAGATGTTATTACAAACAATCAAAAAGGTGTTTTACCACTTGTAACTCAACATTGAGGGTCAGCATCCTAGAATCTGAGCATTTAGGATATATAGATATCCTATATAGGCAATATAGAAGTTAAATGTGAGCTGTCTCAGATAGTGTCCTGGTGAGTATTTTGTTGCTATTGATCATAAGGCCTGCGTTATTCAGTATGAGAGAGAGAGAGATTATAATTACTGAATGAGCTGAACATTCAGTATATACATTTCTCAGAATTTGGTGGGAGAAGTGAAAAAGTGATTTTTCTGTTACCAACAGTGAAGTATCCTTATTTCTGTGGCCAACTGGGAAGCAGAAAGCAGCCATATATGGACTGAAATTCTCTGAAGAATGTGCAATAAATAGATAGTTCGGAAGAAGGCTCCACAGGGTCTCATGAGCACAGCAGTTTGGGAGGGAGAGGAGTCTATTTCCAGCTCAAGAAATAGCACCACAGGACTTGTCTGTTTAGTGTGGAGGAAAGACTGAGAGGAGTAAGTTCTTTAAGTAGTAAATTCTCTCTTTGTGAAACAGTGTAGCGGTAAAATTGTGGTCGCGGATTAAATGCATTACCTTTCTCTTGGGAATTGGTGTTCATTTTGGTAAGGTTTGTTTTGGGGGAAGGATGGTGGCTTTTTGTTTCCCATTTGGACCCCCTTGTGCCTGCTGACCCAGGTGCGCGATGCATTTGGTGGCATGGCAGAAGCAGCCTGTGCCAACCCTTGGTTTGGCTTGTGGAGGTAGGCAGAGGTGGGCACTGTACAACTGGATCCTTTTGAGAGCTATTGGAACCGCATCTGCCTCATTCCAGGTTGGCAGGCAGCAAGAACGAGGTGACAGAAGCGCAAATGCCCTGTACACCCCACGGTGTGGGGGTATTTTCCACGGGGCCAGCTCTGTTTGGGAGTTACCGCTGAGCTTAGAGGCCAGCTGCAAAACTGCAGGTTGCCCATTTTGCTCCCTTCCCATGGCTGTGGAAATCTGGGACTTTGTGTGGTGAGATGTCCAACCATTGTGCTCTGAAACCTGAAAGTGTTGCTGAAAGTAGTGGCTGTACTCCAGATGTGTTTTGCTTGCAGCAGCTGGAAGGAAAGATAGCAACCTGAATAGAACAAGGGCAGTAGCCAGGCAGTTTAGGACACTGACTTTTGGAAAGTGTGCAGCAGTAGCCCAGTTGAGAGTTGCCCAGGGACTAGACTTGGAAATGTTATAAAAGCTGGAAGAAGACCAGATTTTTCCAGGACATGTTTTGTCAGATTCTAGGGAAGTCTTAAGTGCAGACTGCGTACGAGTGCCCTGGACAGTGCTGGAGTCCTTGAGAGCATTTCAGGCAAAGGGAGGGAAAATTCGGTCTCTCCTACTTGCCTGTCTTGCTTACCATCTGTGGTCGTCGTGAACAGATCATCGCCTTCTTTGGCAAGGTCTCTCTGAGGATAATCCAGATTTCCCTTCCTGTCACTTTCTAGAAACTGTACCCAAAAAGGTAACAAATGGAGAGGGGCAAGTGCCGTTTTCATAGGTCTTGGAGAGGCTTAAACCAGCCCTGATGACTTCCTGTTGTAGTAGTTGTAATCGTTATAAGAATTCTTTATATTTGCCTCACTGCATCTGTTGTAATAGTTGTGGGTGGGTGGAAAATAAGGACATCCAGCAGGAAGTAAGAAAATTAATGTGCTCTCAAAAGTTTCCCTGTATGTTTTTTTTTTCTTTTTTTTTGATTTAAAGTTTTTAGACAAAAGTAGTCAAACATATTTCTGTAGGAATGTCTGTGTTAATAACTTTTAAAATTTATTTTTCAAATCTAGATCATCGACAAGCAGATTAATCCCTTTGTGGACAAGTGGGAAGAAGAAGGACAGTTCCCAGCACATAAAATATTTAAAACCCTGGGACAGGCTGGGTTCCTTGGTGTGGATAAGCCAAGAGGTAGGAGAGTGTATAATTCCTGAGTACTGATGGTGGCGGTGATAGACTCATTACATTATCTCGAATTACTCTTGCCTCAGATCAAAACATGGTTCAGAATTCAATTCAAAATTTACTTATATTCCTCAGTCACAGGCATGCTGGTTACCGACTGCAAATACATAAAATAATATTGCTGAGTGCTCAAATTTATATTCGCCTAAATGTTAAAAACCTGCGTGACTGTTATTTTAAATGAATGTCACTTCAATTTTCAACATACCATCTGTATATTGACTTTTCTTCTGGATCCGAACACATACGGAATAACCTCAGTCTTCATTAAAGAACCTGCAATTTGAAGGCATTGAAAGTGTTGCAAGATTTGGCCTATTATACTTCCTTAACCTGTAACCTCTACATCATCGTAATGTATTCTGTCTCGCCGTTCAGAGGATGAGGTTTGTGTGGGTTTTAAGCCATTATATCCCAGACTGTCTTTAAAAGGCACTATTCCAGCCCACAGAAGTATGTACAGAGCGAGAAGCTGATGATACACACAGCAAGGACAGAACAAGTTTCATGTGTACATATATATATTGGTGAGGAAAAAAGTCAGGAAGTCCAGAGGAGTAGGAGGTATTTCTGCTCTTCAGCTAAAATACATATTCCCCTAGTTTTTTGGTTTGTATGCGATGTAATATATACTCATTTTCTTCTTAAATGCTACTGTTATGTGTTCCTGTCAGAAATCTCTGCGGGTTTTTTTTGCTCATTTTCTTTATCATGGTTAAAAAGTTTAAAACAAAAGCAAGTTTGCACAGGCCAACCTTTAGCAATCGTGGTGAATTCAGAGCAGCCCAAAGTGACAACGTTTGGACAGTTAACTGCAGATGATCATCTATATGGAGCATCCCACACAACCTTAGCTATGCCACACCACATCATTATGTTGCTAAGGGTCAGGGTTTGAACTGTGGAACAAATTATGTCTTTTTACCACTTACTTTCAGAGGAAATTTTTCTTCTTGAAATAAACTTTCGTATTCTTATACATTCCAACATGGAAGGTTTTTTCTCTAGCTGTTCAGCTGTTGGAGCTCGCAGAACTGTTTAGCTGTGATTGTCTGACAGACCCGATTAGGTCTGAGCTGGTATTTCTTTCAAAAATGCTGACAGTTTGAGATTATACTGAAGATCTGTTTACATGACAAATAGGATTACTGGGGGAGGGAGAAAACCACCTCTACCTTCTGCTATAATTGTTTGATAGGCAGATTTGAACTGTGTCTCAGGGGCGTCTCCTTCACACTGTGAGTATTCATGTTGGTTGTGATAACAGTGCCTTGCATTGCTGCCAGATTACAGCCCCATCTTGTTATTATATTCTTCTTGGGACACGTAGAGGCCTCGGCTGGGGTGAGGAACCTCAGTGCTGAACATGCTGTGCATAAAACATTGTGGAAGTGGAAACTTTGGATAGTGCTCGCAAAATAGCTAGGACAAGAAATAACTGGAGTGAAATCACTAGTGAAGAAGGGACTTGCAGAGGCAAAGATGGGCACAGAAGATTGCATGCACTGGCTGCACTGGTCATACTCATGATTAAGAATATTTTAGCTTTGGCTTTGACACTTGTTTCTAGTTGTTAACCTAATTTGTTGGGCCTCTGCAGCTGCATTTTATAAAAGCTAGAAAAACCTGGATAAAATTCTCAGCAACACATGGTCCATCTCAGTTCATCTTCTAGAGCAAGGTATTGTTGGGTACAGAAAATGCACCAACTCCCTGGAAGATGCTACCTTTGCAGCATTCAGTTATGCAACAGAATGTCACCACATCCAGTTTTGCTCTGTAGTGGTATAATACCATCAGGTACGTCCTGAAAGTCCTGAAACTCTCTCATGATGGTAAGTGAAGCAGTCAGGTGTATAACAACGCAGTCTCAACAGCAGGACTTTGGCAAAGCCTGAAATTCTTTATCTTCTACACTTCTACAAAGTGCTTATGCTTGCTGTATGATTAATGTCTACTGGTAATAGCAATTAAAAATAAAATTAAGAGATATACCTTTTATACTCTGCTGGGACACTTCTATTATTTAACTGCTGTGTGCAGAGGAAGACAGGTCTTAAGAGATTTGAGGAAGCCAAGAGCAGCCAGGAGTTCTGGAGAGGTCTTGGGGGAGTTCTAGAGAAGAGAGGTTAAAATGATTTGAGGAGAGCAATTGCGACACAGAACTGTGTGAGTAACAACCTGCCCTACTTTCTCTTTCCAGCACAAACCAAAGTTATAATTATCATGTCGTATCCCTTCAAACCCAGATCATATGGCATTCTCTTTAAAGAAGACTAAATTTTTCAAGTTAATTCACTTTAGTAGCAGCTGCAATTTTGAAATACAAGTTTTTCTGAATTTGTTTTCCAAGGTCATTCTATCAAGTACAGTTTTCTTTTTCCTGTAAAATTAATTTTGAAGCTTTCTGATTGGGCAGAAACAGGTCACAAACTTGTTTTGCTTAGATAGAAGGAAACATCTGTTGGAGCTCAGATTTGTTGAAACTGGACGTTTTCCTGTGTAAACACCATTCCCTTTATGAACAATGAGCTGCTTAATGGGAGTCAGGTTTTTAACAGAACGTGCCTTACATGTGTCCCTTTTCATTGGAGAGTTTCTCTATGTGGAGAACTGAGTTGGGGCACTATTTGTAATGCAAAGGCTTCATCAATTCCCACTGTATGCAGTTGTAGGCTACAAAATTTTCAAGGTTCTTCCTGTATATTTTTTTCACAGTTGTTTACGATTGTAATGAATATTGGCTGTTCAGGATGTTAGTTGGAGGGGTCATGTAAACACTGTGGGCTAGGCCCAGCCATGCATCCATTACTGAGAATCCTTAAGGTGATCAGTGGATTTAACTTACTATACTGTCTGGTCAGTCCTCTGCCAGAGAAAGATTTTTTCTCTTTGAATCGTTTCTCTACTGTGGTATTCTTTACACAACTCAAAAATAGTTCATACGCTGGTTTTCCTTGGGAAAAAGTATGTGTTGTTCTGTTATGTTAGGAAATTCTTCCTCCTAGTAAAATATGTGCTGAAAAAGTGAACATTACTTATGCACAAAAGTGTCTTTTTGTTCTATACAAAATGTGTTTTACAGAATCACTCAGTTCAGCCTGAAGTATTTAGTTTGAGCAGAAAAAAACCCCAACATCTCTAGATACTTATTATTCTTCATTTATGTTTACTGTGTGTTTCTCCTCAAATTAAAAAATTTCTGGGCTACTGAGGTACTGACAGTCCCAAAACTAAGGACAGAAAATATTAGGGTAGGCAGCAAAAATATTTTAAACAGTCTTGGTAGTTGGCCATTGTCTGTTTTGCTAAGGGAAGTGGGTAAGACATATTCTTTGGAGTGTTTTATGTGCAGATTAGATGAGCTATTGGAGTAAAAGCTGAAAAGATCTGTGTGGTCATTTGTGATCTTAGAGTTTATGAATCAAAGCCTTGGCTGTTGCTAAATTTTAGGGTGTGTTGCCAAAGACACAGACTCAAAACGTACTGTTATGTGCCTGAGTATGCCAACACAGATGATTAAAATTTGTTTTTATCAGCTGATGCAAAATTACAGGAATCCTCCTGTAAAGGCTCAGGGAAAGCAAAGAGGAGGGGAGAGATTGGTTTGTAAGAGGGCAGCCTCTGCTGTCCTGTGCATTCACATAGCATCACTGTGAGACATGAGTGATAATGATGCCCGCTCTGGGTATTTCGTTAGTGTTTCCACTGGCAGTCCTGTAGGAATATTTGGCAGAATGCATTAGCATGTAGAAGTAATTATGACACGTATGTCCAAATAGTAGCCTTCATTTATTTCTGTCAAACACTTAGCAGTGCACTTGCAGAAATACGTTCTTAAATATATCAGGAAACTATGTGGTAAGACTTGTACATGGATGGGAAAGTACAGTTTCACCCTGTCTTCTTCCCCTACTGCTGGGATGTATGCTGGATACAGGACTGGAGAAAGTAATAAGCGGTATGTTCTTGTCACTTGAGACAGATAAGCATCTGATGAAACAAAACAGATGTTTCAAATGATGGATTGCACTGCAGTTGGAAAATGATGCAATATCTTTCCTTAAGAAAGCCTGTTTATTGCAAGTGTCTGTGTGTGTTGAATGTGGTAATGTAGATCTAGACTATCCTCTAAGGTTAATTTTGTTGTTTTCTTCACAGGCATATATTTCTCTAGTACGATGAGACCTTATGAGACTTTCGTAGTGGATTTTTTTGAGTGTATGGGGTTCTTTCTTTTCTTCTTTTTCCTTTTCTGTAATACTAAGCCTTGTTATTACATGGATTGAGCAAAAGAAGGACCTGGGAGGAGCAGTGAATTCTGTCACTAGAAAGGGATTTAGTAGTTCAGGTGAAACAGGGGTTTATGGCCTCTGAGAGCATAACTGAAACAAACTTTTTCTGGTGTATCTATGGATAGAAACTGAAAGGGATTTGTCAGAAGATAACTCATTTGCCCAAAACCATTTCTGTATGGCAGGAGTGGACCAGCTGCAAGGCTTGTGCTTGGTTTAGTAGATTTAAGCATAGCAAGCTGAACTAGTTGCTTGATCTCTTTCTCACTTACAAAGGAGTGCAATAGTAGTTAATTAATAATAGTTGCACTCTAAAAGGTTGTGAGAGAAACCTTTGTGCTGTGTTTTGAGATACCAGTGAACCAGTAAATCATCCCTCTGAAATGCTTACCAGCTATCAGGTGTACCTGTTTTGCAATCAAGAAATAATTTCGATAAGCCTCTAAGAAACAATAGACCAAAATCAGTCACTGCTTTATTTGAATCAAATTGATGACAAAATTAGTGATGGATGGCAGGGGTTTGGAGACCTCAATCACATAGGTTTAAGAAATTTCAGGTGCTTATCTGACCTTAATTTGGTGGATTGGATTGAAATCTCAGGAAAACAAATTTTTGTTTGTGTACATATGTTCCGTGTGACTGAGACAT